GTATATATATATATAATTGATTATAATTGTTGTTAATTAATCAATGATTTGAATAAGACACAGTTCTTTGATTGATTAGGTTTTGTGATGTTGCAAGCAATTATTAAGTTTAATAAATTCGTTTTTGTAGATTACACCCTCAGACACAGTTCTTCAGTTAAAGCACAAAGTTAGCGACCTTCTGGGTATAGATGTTCCACAACAGAGACTGTTGCTTACAGGCAAAACATTAGCTGGTAAACTTTAAAATATTGTATCAACAAATTATCAGAATTTTAAATTTAAAGTCAAATGTCAACAGAATTATAATGATGTTTTAGATGAAAATCCACTGAGTTTCTATCCAGGAATCAAGGATGGAAGCAAGTTAAATCTTTTGGTTATTAAAAAGGCGGAAGAAGGATCCAGCGAAGAGAGAGCTTCGCACAGCAAATCTGGCACGCATCTCTTACGAGATGAGATTTCTAGAGTTCTGAGGCATTATTACACAGAATCAGAAACGGAGTCGATAATCAATGAGTTGATAAAAGACCTGAAAAATAAAGTGAATAACCTTAGCTACGATGACTTAGAACGATTAGCGACCGCACTTCTTCAGGACCAAGAGAACATAGCTTAAGACGAAAAAATTTCGGTTTCCCAACTTCTCTCGCTTATTATTTGATTATTGTAATACACTTTTATTTAATTAAAGAAAACGTTGCCTCATTGTACCCTGATAACCAGTAGTATATTTTAAATGATCGTAAAGGGAAAGACGTGCAAAGAACAACATATAGATGTATTAAAAGGTCGATTTTATTAAAACGTACATAAAGTATATTAATAGTAATTGCACATTAATCAAATTTCAAAAATCATCGGCCAAGTCCAGTTGGCGGAAATATCGCGCAACTAAACATATAAATAAATTCAGTGCCCCTATTTCATGTACTTCCAATTTCGTCTATAAAAGTAAAAGAAAAAAAAAAGAAGTAGATAATATAAAGTTTTATAAGGAGAGGGTTTCAACTTCATATACATGATTATTGATAACATTAAATAAAAACAAAAATCAAAAAGCTGTATCTCAGTTGAAGAACGATGCCTACGTAGTAAATTATACTACATTTTATATCACATTTTTATACACTGTATCAAATATAAATTATTCATTTCATAGAAAATGCCATTCCAAAATTTTTATGTATTGATGAATGTCTTTAAAGTGTATTTTATACTTAAATCTGTTTTGTTTCCAGTAAATGCAAAGAGATAAAGTTGACTCAGATGCTATATATTTAAAGCACAGAACTTTCAATGCACTGAAGTTGAAACACTCTCTGTGAATTAACTACAAAACAGTCAGTGAGCAATTTTTGTCTATTTTTAATATAAATGATAATTTTTCTGTTTAAATTACTTTAACTCACTTCCCGATTTGTGTTAATGATAAATGTAACATACACATATGCAATAAAATTGATTTGTTAAAAAATAAAGAGTAGTGTCATCTTTAATTCATTATTACCGATTTTGCACGCATGACAGAACAAGTTCTAGCCAGTGAACGCAAACAGGAACATGTTTCTGGAATTAGTGGCATTTCCAGAACAACCAGCAATGCGTATAACCATTGACCCAATTTATATTCAATCTTTTCCAATTTTTCTATGTATTCCACTAAATATTCCAATATTTGTTCTATCATTGGTTGATTTAAAGAAAAGATAACGTCTAATGTTGGGAGAATTCTTGCCCCTTCTATTTCATTACCAGAACAGAATTTGATCCAACCTTTCTCATCATCTATATTTGGCTGTAATATTAAAATATTAATGGCAAAACAAACATATGTCATACAGCGACTAATAGAAAACTACTACTACTAATATATACCATATCAATCTTTGGAGGTTTCCATTTGCGCTTTAATGTTTGAATTTCATTCTTTAATTGGCTTATGTATAGTCTGATATTGGAAAAGTCTGACACTTGACATAATTGCCAAGCAAGCGTAGGACCAAGTTTTGGTGGTGCTTCCATACAACCTGTCAACTTATAACGTTGCGTTTACGTAATTATTATACATTATCCAAATTCTGACTAACACAGGATTTTTATTTCTCATATAAACGATTTTGAAGCATTATTAGCAAACTTACAGGTTCGATATCGATTGTAGGTTTTTTGAAATATTTCCTATCAATGTCAGCTACTACAATATCAGCACAGTTCTGTGTCTCTATCCTGTAATAACACCAATATTATTTGTCCATTTTCTGCTAATTTTCAGACATTTACTTACATCACTCTTTTAATATATTCTTCTCCAGATGTGGGAGGTAAGGATAAATTAATATCCTCTTCAATTTCTCCAACAAAAAACGCAGGCTGCTTTAAATAATCAGTCATTTCGTTTCTCATTTAATAGATATTTCCAAATTTCACTTGATAAAAGAAATTTTATTTATTCAATTATGAATATTTATTATTAAATTATGAATATGTTATGTTGTCTTTCAGATTAGGTTATGATCACCTATGGTATAAAGTTTATATTATTATCCGAATGTTGAAAGAAAGTAATTAGGATATAGTTTTAAGGAAGGTATGTTTAATTTATGCAATTATAATACAAAGTATATAACGCGTGCATTTTAATCAATAATTTTTATTCATTCATATAATACCATTGACTAAGAATAAGATAGATCGGACATCAAATGGGGTTTAGTGTCTCAGGGTCTGAACTACCGACCAGGAAAAAAAAATCACTGATTTTTTAGCGTTCTCTACGTTTAAATAACGGTGAAGTAAAGAACTACGTCAAACAAAATGAAACAAGTTGGTTCAGGAAAATAATATCCATTACAGTGTTGTCAATTGTATATCTTCAGCACAAACGAGATATAAATACATATATCTCGTTTATGCCTCCAATATAAGAAATCGGTCCATAACTTCCGTTTTATATCATGTAAATCTATTCCGTAACTATTTTTTATATTTACTACGTTTTATGTATCTATGTATATATCACAAAGAGTTCTATCGTGTTTTAATTAATATTAATATTACAAAGAGCTCTATCGTGTTTTAATTAATATTAATATTAATATACATTATATACATATCATGTATATAATTATTTATACTTCATTATTTTTAAAAATAATTTTTAACTAACTACATTACTTCCTACTTTTAAAATTATTTTGGTTGGCACTTTTAAATATGCCAGAATAGTTCGTGTCTATTCTAACATGATTTGGAATGGTTTTTGTCCATTCTATAGCTGTCTGAGGAATTTAAAAACGCCAGAAATGATTCGTGTCCATTCTAACACGCTTCGGAATGGTTCTTGTCCATTCTAATATGGTAGGAATGGTTCTTGTCCATTCTAGAGCCTTCTGAGGAATTTAAAAACCATTGAGTGAGGTTTCTTTATTTTATGTTATTGTAAATTATTTCTCAGGATTCTAGTACAATTGTGTCAAATGATTCGTATTATTCAAATTATTCAAATTATTTTCTATTGTGTTTAGTTTCATTAATAGTATTGAATGAATTATTTGCCATTAGATTATACTATAATACTTAGTCTAAGTGTTTGCTTAGATTAAGTATTGTTTTATATTATTTGTAACATTTTATTTGAGGATAATTTCTTTCGTTTTTGTTTCATGGTTTCTTTTTTTATGAGGCATCAATCTCTCTTTTTTCCCCTACATCATATATCTATTTCCTTCATCTTCTGCTTTCTCTTTTCTTTTCGATAATCGATGCAATGGTGATGGATAATACTTGAAGTGCAGACAAGTTCGAGGACAAGACTATTTCGTGAAAGTCTCTTCGGTGACATGCGATAAATCAAACTATTTTTAAATCATGAGTGAGAAGCTTATGATCGATTTTCACAGGCGCTCGTCCTTTCAAATTATTTCGATCCTTCGTTCAATGTGATTTATAGTGTCTTGCGTCATCATCTATAGAAAAGCCTATCAAAATATCTAAAGCTTTTTAAATCTTTCTCAATATTTTCACCTTAAGTCTCATACAAATTTTTACACGTAAATTTAACATCTAAATTGTAGTATTTTTAGTGATTTATCTCATAAATAGGATGAAAAAAGTAGTGGAACAAAAGTAGTGGTAATACCGCGTATAAATAATAATGTTTTCTTCTGAAACGTCTTTTATAGCTTGAAGTATAGTTTTATTTTCGTTTTTTCTTTATTGAAACATATAGGTAAACGATCGTTCGAGTAAGTAGTATAGACAAACGCATGGTCAGGCAGAAAACCAAGTAGTACAAATCAACGCATGGGATGACAAGTGGTCATAGATAAACGTAGAGGCGGACAAGTAGTGCGGGTCAACGTATGAGCGGACAGAAGTATAGGTAAACGTATTGTCAGAAATGAGCAAGTAGTATAGGCAAATGTATGATCAAACACAAACGATACTACCTCGTCTGCGCCAATAATTTCTATTCGTCTTTATTAATATTACATTATATGATGAATATACTGTCTCAGAAATGTTAATTTTAGTAAATAAGAATAATTTATATTTATGTTAAAATAAGATACGCATACCTTTTTAACTTTAAATTTATAAGATATTGAAAATAAGATAGTGAGATAGGGAGACAGGAGCACATAGGATAGATAGATTTCTGTTTAGGAAAAATTGAATCACCACTCGAACGCAACTCGATTTAAAGTTCACCTTTCGTTGATCAAGTTACTCTTGCGTGGTCAGAAATAGGTTTCCAACAAACTTCTGATACACAGATTAGGAAAAATTCATAATCTCTTTGGAAATCATTTCGAGATAACAACGACGACGAAATAATTTTTCCCATGGCATCTGGGCCGGCAATTAGTTTAAAACGAATTTTATAGTATCCAGGGCGGTAAAACTTTTAGTTTAACCACTTCGGGTCGAAGGTTCCTGTCTAGCAAGAACGCTCTACCTTAATGCCTCGGTTTTACGTTTCATTAAAGAATATTCCGGCAACGTGCATTTGTACAGGGCGTTCCAGCAATCGTGGTGTTATCGAAGCGGAAGAAAGAAAGAATTTCTCCACATTTTCTTTACAGTGCTCTTATTCTCGATAAACTTAGGTTTACAAAGTGTATTTGAATTTTATTCAAACTGCTCTAATCCTAATTTTCAAGCATCTGAATGCTCGTCGATAAATATGGTTATACATACATACGAATTGATTGCTATCGATATTAGGTATTTATAAAAAATATAAAAATATCACTTAGTTGGAACTGCAGATAATCAAGGAAACTAAAAGTAAAAAGTAAAATCGAGAGATCTCTCAACAAATCAGAGTCGTTTGAAAAATTTGTTCACTATGATCAAATTAAACAGTAGAAACAGATCTTAGTCTAAATTCTCAACTTATGAATTTTTCACCTGTCGAACACAATCCGGCCACTGAAACAGCCTGTACACTTGCACGCGAGGCAATATTGCCGGAGCAAGCCCTAAAAAATGATTTTCGTCATAATCCACGGGCTTTCCATGGAATAATTTGCCCCAAGACGATATCCCAAGGAAGCTTGGTGGTTTATAATCCGCCTTGTATTTCCATACAAATTAACGACACACTTCGGGGGCCTCGAAACGAAATTTCTGGCATCTTTTGAAGCTAACACACACACAGAGAAAGAGAGAGAGAGAGAGAGAGAGAGCGCCTCTTTCACGATACAAAGGGAAAGCCGGCTATTTGTCTGCCTTCCCTGGCTGGTCTCTGTTATTAAAGCCGCTCCGCGTCTTTATTTCACTGGGCCATTGTCGAGCTTGGGAAAAAGCTTGTGCCGGAGTTTCTCTCCAGTTTGATAACCCCCAAAACAGAAACGGTAATTTCAGACGCGTTGTCTTCCTGAAAATAAGTTTAGCCCGCAGTGTCTTTAATTCGGCGGACAATGGACGGTTCATTGCTCCTTTTTATCTACGTCTGTGGTACGGTATTTCTAGTATCTTCTGGTGACATTTTTGTTTGAGCATTGAATGGTCATTATTGTGATTATAAGAACTCTCAACTCAGAGAATACAACGAATAACTCCGTCAATATGTATTTTTCCTTTGATCCTTTTTTCATTTCAGTTTTCGTGACGATGAACCCTCTCCCCTCTCTAAACAAATTTATTAAATAAGTATAAATTTATAACAACTTGCAATAAATAAATATAAATATTCCATTTATTTAATAAATATAAATTCATTTCATTTGAATTTATTTCATTGAATATTCTTTTTCCAATAAACAATCAGTGAAACTAAAAGTGTTGAGATTTCTCAAGTGACCACTGTATATATGGAGAGAAAAGCCTGTCTGGACGCAGGAATGCGCTTTGGCGGCGTTTGCATGGTTGGCCTAGTTTTCCAGGGCTTTTTGTGCCGATATTACATTCGAGCTTACACGAAAATAAGCTGTTGGCTCGGTCGTAAAGAGTATTGTTAAACTCCGACTCATTCGATGGTCTGGCCACCATGAAATTCCATTTTTGTCTCTTGGCTATTAGAGTATCTAACTTTAATACCAACCAATCGTAATCTTCTCCAGTCGTAAACTGGATTTTCTTACTAAACTGTTGTCAAATTGTCAGTGTTGTTCTCGTTAATTTAACAAACAGTGAATGCCAAAAATTATATGTCAGATGTTGACAGATAAAAAAAATTTGAAAGTAGCAGTCTTGTTTAATCTCGCTTTAGAATTGCATTAATTCTTTTCCTACGCGTGATTTCACGTTAAACTTTAATACGTAAAAGTAAAGCTAGGAAGAGCTTAATGCTGTTATCTTTCCCATAGACTTAGCTGACTTTCTAGTACTAAAAATATATTTGCACAAAGTACAGTTCCATAAAGATATACTTGAGAGAAGCATTTTCTATTCTATAAAAGGATGAAAAATATGGGAGGAAAAAAACCGCGAGTGTTGGAGAGAGTTTCAAGGAGTATCTTGGATAAGCTGAGAAGAAGAAAATTCGAGGGAGTCAAGAGACGGGCTGGCTCTTCTCGTTATACAACTTTTAATTACAATCAGTTCGATTTCCTTTTTACCAGGAGTTTCCATTTGGAGCTTCGTTAGACACAACCGTGGAGGTGACACTCGTAATGTCGACTTTTCTTTTACTACCAGCGGCCTTTTCACAGCAGTGAATATCCACCTTGACATCCTTAATTAACGACGGAAATACGTTGTTAGTTCTTCGAGTGGTCCGAGCTTCACGACTATGCCGTTTGCGTATTAGTTTCCTCCATCCTTCTGTTACTCATCTCAGTCATTGCGTGCTACTCTCAGGTTCTATAAATTCTGTAATATGGATTTCAAGCCTGACACTTAAAAGTAGAAAGCAGGCAATGCCTCTTTCATTCTAATTTCTTGCATTTATATACTTATTTCGTTTATACGTATTTAGGTTGAAATGTAGCGTCAGAAGGCAGAAGCTGTTTGAACAAACAAAACAGAACTATTATCTTCTTTCGTTGAATATAAAATGAAGAAAACTTTGACTAACCTAATTTCTCCGTTCCTTTTTTTGCCCTTCTCTTTATTCATTATGCTTCAATTTGGATTTCACCATAATGTTAGAAATTATTATTCGAGTAAATAAAATAGACAGGCCAAATAGTCTTCATTCTCTTTATTCTCATGTATTGACAAGATCTGAAAACTTAATTGTACAATTAAGATCATTTAAAATTTATAAAATTCAATAATTTAGCGTACAATGAAAGATATAGAACTGTAGATAATAATTCCTTTCCTCAGTCCCTTCTGGAAAGTTAGAAGATGTTTCAAATTAAAATTGGCTAAATTCAGACCTTCTAAAAAGCACTTCCAAGGCTTCTGGAGTTCAAGTCGGTCTTCCAAGATACTCGGGCGAAATGCAAATGAAGAGTATTCTATTTCGTTGCGTTGATGACCCTCTAACCGTATTTTCAGCGTTTCACGAATCGCAGTGCTTAAGGAACTGACGTTCTAACGTTCAGAGCATCAGCTGGTCTCGCGTATTCTGGTTAATGAGAATTATGTCAAGGAATCGCATCGATTAAAGCTTAGCCCAGATATTTGACGATGAAGCGTCGCTTCATTGATTTACTATTATGCGTTGCACTACAGATTTAGCCAGCAAGATGACATTAGAGCTTACAGCGAGGCGCATCTGTCTCTTCGCAGCAGAAATGGGCCTCAGTGACGTGGAAGGAGCTGAACCAATCTGTATTTGAAACAATTACCATTCGATAACTTTTATGTACACTGTTATACACTATTATGTCAAATATTCTGAAATTTCATTAACTACTGAGAGACAACCAATACAATGATATTATGGCATATGTTTTGTCTAGTTATGATATTCAAACAGTGACTGAAGTCTTCATTAAACTTGCAAACGCGCAAGTGGAATATAATAAATTGAAATAATAACAGAATCTGTTAAAGTATACTGAAACGAAGGGAAGATATCTGTTGATTTAAACGTACTAGAGCAGGTAGGTTGGCATAGCTCAGTTGATAGAGCATCAATCAGACTCTTAATCTGAGGGTGTCCAGGGTTCAAGCCTTCTGTTTGGGCGAAAAAAAAAAGACATTGTCCTTTAGGACAACAGCACGGGAGAGCTCTGCTGAGTTCTGATCCGACACTACCTGGGGGTCTTCCCTTAAAAGACTCAGATGTCTTATGAAGATTTCCTGCACGTAAAAAAAAAAAGATGTATTAGAGCAGAGGAGAGGGAAGAAGACATTTCGACGCTCTTAATTAAAATACGTCAGTTACTATCTTTATTCAATAAATATAATATTACATCATAACATAAGGAATATCGTGGTGTGTAATTGTCCTCATCAAGCTGGACAGCTCGCAAGCAGTCGCTGTTCTTGAGAGCAGCCCCAGCGATTTGCAAATATATCTCTATATACGCGTACACAACACACGTACATGCCATGTGCACACGTACACGTATGTATACATATACCATCTTTAATATAGATCTTTCTTCTCTAGAGACAGCACAAACACGTACTATGTTACAATATCGTTACAAGAACAGTCACGGATCTCCGGCGATCGTTTCTTTTTTCTTTTTTTTTTTTTTTTTTTTTTTAATCTAATTCTTCGGTGTTCCAACGCGAATCTCCTGGCGGCCACAGCGGCATTCAACAATCACACGTCTTGGTATTTTACTTTCTTCAGTTGGCCCACTTGGAGGCAGGCTGCGCCAATTGGTGTGTTATGTTTTTTCCTTCGAAAATTGGTACCAGTTTTCGAAAGATCATAAAAAAGAATTGTACTTCGATTTCTCTTAACGTTATGAAATATTAGATACTAATTTATATTTTTGTTTCTTTTTTCTTTTTTTGGTAGAAAATAGAACTAAAAAAAGATAAAAGAGTAGAGTTAGAGTTAAAGTTAAAAGGGAATTAGAGCTTTTTATCTCTAGGGTTTTTTTTTCTCTTTTTTTTTTTACTAGGAGCTGCTTCCAATCACACCGTCGAGGATTTTCTTGTATACATCATTCAATTCACCGAGTTCCCGAATCGAAAAACCAGGAGGCTCAATAAGCCGAGCTTAATTTCAGATGCACCGAGCCGCATCGTTTGCATCGCAATCCCTTGCAAAACAGAACTAGCAGCGGAATAAAATTCCCTGTTGTTGGGATCGTTCGGTGAAATTATTCTTAGCCATACGTCTCCCTCAAAGTTCACGAATATTGATCGAAATAAACTTTTACAATCGCTTTAGCCAACCAATTATATAAAATAACATTTGTAAATTTCAAAATCTTCGAAACATTTCTTCCTGATACTTCATTTAAGATATCTCTAATTTTAAAGAGTCGTCGATAAAATTTATAAAAATTACTAATATTCAACATCTAAAATTAAGAAAGCTTAACAATCGTTACAACAAACGTCTTCACTCGCTAATCTAGTCTCGATGAGCTGTTGAGGTAACCTAGTGACGAGAAAACTGAAACCTAACTTCCTCCTTGGCCAATATGCGTGCTTCAATGGCAGATTAGGTTCTTAGAGAACTCGCGTGGAACCCGTACGACGCTTTCTCCCTTACTAATTAATCTAATATTTACATGAGTCAGTCGTACAGCGGACGCCTGATCGAACCTTCTCGCCTCTCCAGCCAGATTCGCTTAGCAAAAGTAAAAAATAGGTACTTTCCAGTCTTCAGGCTCAACTAAATCGTGTCCTCGCTAGAATTGGAAGAGCGTTACAAGTCGCCAGTGGTGTCTGGCGATTGACTTCGTTTCCTTTTATCTTCCGTTCTGCCCGGAGAAGGAAGAGAGAGTCTTATTGTATAACGTTTTGCATATGAAAATAGGTGTATACCATTTACATTATATATCTCACGCTATCACAATATACGGTCTAAGGTAAAGTCCTGGTTTGATATGTACAATATAATATATTATTTATAGTATTTCACACGGTGGGTTCACTTGGCTTCAGCGTTTGATGTATATTTTATAAATCATCCTATCACTATGCTACGTGAGGTGATCTACACATTCTTGGAAGAATTCTGGAATGCCCAAGACAACTTATAAGAATTTAGATGTTTCATATATCTTTTAAATATTTGTGGACAATATATAATTGAAAAGCTTTCTTCAAAAGAAATTTATACGTCATGTATTCTCGTAGAATATATCTTCTAATCAAGTAGAATTATACGATACTTCTTCATTTTTTAAATACAAGAAAAAAGGCAAATGTTATTATTATTTCAATATAGTCAATATTTAAAAATCTAGAACTAAAGCTATCGATGAAATTTATTAAATCCATTATTTTGTCCTATGGACTCGTAGAGCTAAAAATTTGTTAAAATCTTTTTTTAAGCAATTTTCACTAACAAACACTTCAATAAACAATTTCGAAAATAACTTCAGCTACAAAGTTGCTCAAACGCTTCGGCTAAGTGGAGCACCCTGTTTGTTCACCATAATCCACATTATTCCCATGCGCCTCGCGCGAGCTGAATCTCTACCTTTGTACAGATTACTAGTTTGTAATGCACTTTGATCATTTGATTGTGTCGTCAGTCGATTTTGGCATGCTTCTTAAGCCGGGTCTCGGCCGGCGGTCCCTTTGAACAATCTGGCTATAGAAATTGACCAGTGTAGACACGTTCGAATGGTTCCACAGGCAAAGACCGGGCTTCAGGAACGAGTTTCGACTACCTACAGTGTTACCTACAGTCGGTTTGAAGTGATCCGAGGAACACGGGAAATCATTGTGAATCCGTACGTGTAGTCAGAGGACACAGCGAGTCTGTATAATTTTTCTTCTTACGTGAACTCTCCCTTCCTGTCTCTGCCTGCCTAATTGGAAACCCAACTAAAAGATAGAACAGAGCACGGTGCGATGGCCTGGTATATGTGTGAATGTATGTACACTGGTGCAAATACAGTCAAGGTCACCGCGGCGTCCAAGTATGTACACTGAATTGACCATGGAACACAAGATGAAAAATGGGGGTAAGAAGAACATGGTTCCACCGCTATCTACAGGGCGATTCCTTTCGCTCTCACTCTCTCTATTTCTGATTCCAGTGGATTGCACGAAGACTCGAAGAGGTAGCATCTGCCAGGGCAGTATTCTGTTTAGAAGGCAGGCAAACGCTTCTGTTTGGGCTTACGATCATTGGACGAAGTTCACGTTGAACGTCTCCAGTTCCATGGGCTGGAGACTCACTTCTTGCAGACCATCCTTCAACCTGTGCTTCGTCTTGGTGCCAGTCAACGAGGTCTTCGTCACATTGAGATTCGCTAACTTGAAGAACGACGTTCCTTGACCAATCTTCTCCGTCAGCGGGCAGTGTTTCATAGCAACGTCCACGCCCACGGAGCAACTATAACCTTGCCTATGTAGCACCATCAGAGCACTGTTCACAGGGAAGTGTGGCAGTTTCTGGTCGTGATTGGTCCTAAGGTTTAACAGGTGTAGGTCACAGGGGAAGCTTTGACTTAATAGCCTAACCTCTGGCGCCATCGCTATATCGCCTTCCGTACCGTCCACCACAAAAATATTTACGGGGTAATTGAGAGCGTTGCTAAGATGATTAGCGAAAAGGGAAGGCTTGGAATATTTATCTTTCTCCCCGGTGATGTCTTCTAATAGCAACCAGTGTTTGATCACGGTTCTACGATTGTCTAGAAGACCCTCACCCATTCCCCTCGAGTCATCGTACAATGTTCTTCTGTCTAACATTACTTCCAGCCAGCCTGGTTGATAACTGGCTGCTCCCTGGCAGTGATTTACTAACAGAGTGAGCCTGTGATTGGTGTCTTCGATGTAGGCCATGGTGGTGATGGGGAAGTAGTTACCCTCGATGCCAATTCTCTCTATCTTCGTCCTCTTAATCATTTGGTGGCCGTTCAAGTCTGTGTAAAACTCTGGAGGATCGCCATTCAAAATATCGGTCTGCAGACGCATGAACATCTCTGTTTCGCGATTCTTTGGCGGAGTTTCAAAGTCCACGATGTTCCTCAAGTAGATAGCCTCGCCGAGACCATCGTCTCTGTGATAGATGGCCACGTGATGGGTTAACAACTTTCCATACTCAACTGTCAGCCTCGAACTGAGGCTTCCACTGACGATGTAGATCTTCTGATGAGGCGTATACGCTTCGAGGACGTCCTTATCGATGTCTCGAAGGTTGGGATCGGGCATGAACAAATAAGCCCCACTGTGGAACTGCGCGGACGGATAGGCAGCGAACTGAACGGCGCACTGCATGATTTTACCTGTCGCTTTCTTGGTCACTCTTTTCAGGAATCCAGTTTGACCATCGAACAACAGTTTCATCCTCTGGTTTTCCAATTGAACGTCGCCTACTTGCATGGGTTTGATAGGAAACACGTTGTCCTTGCCGCATCTGCTGCAGTACACCGTGGAAATAGCTTCCATGGGCACTTTATCTATCTGTTGAAGATGATACGTAGCTATGGACAGAGGTTTCAGCTCCACCATGAACAATAGAACGTAGACGTCGTGAGTGATACTCGTGGCATTCATTACCGGAGCTATCTGATACGAGATGGGATTCTTCTGCGGGTCTAGGACTCTGATTTTGTAGGAAGTGATTTTCAGACTTATCACCTCCTGTCTGGGTTGAGCCAGAGGATTGAACAGGACTATTTTCTTGGTCTCCTGACCGTTTATTCCAATGGGTATTTTCTTTGGTAGTTTCTCGTAGCTGTCTCTGTCCGACTCAGCCAGAACATACACGGAATTAGGTTTGCTAGTGCTTCCAGCTAAAGACTGAATGGCGAAACTCTGGAGACTGGTCGTGTCTGAGATAGATTCGAACAGTTTTAGGGCGTAGTCCTTCATAACGAAGGACTTGGAGGTGCCAGTGATGGCGTCGTGGTGTTGGAAGAGGCCCAAATTTCTCCTAGCCTTTACCAACTTTTCGAAGTAAGTTTCGTACAGCATGAAATCTTTGCCGGATTGTTTGGCCACGTTTAGAGCTATGGTGTAGAGGATCTCAGCTGATCGGAGGTTCGCTTCTAACTCACGGTCCAGGATTTTCATGTACGGCCTTGTGGTGAAGTAGCCGCTCCAGTAGGCTGGTCTGCCCTCGCTGAAGATGTCAGAGTACACGAAGAAGTCGCCCTTCAGAGTTGGGAAATCGTCGACGCGTTTCCTCACCTCGCGGAAGTAGTCTTTAGGAGTACCGAACACCACTTCCGCGTTGTACTCCTCTTTCCTGCTGTTGATGTAGTCCATTAGGATTTTGTAGTTGGTGTATTGTTGGTCCCACTCAATAGCATGGTCGTACCTGAAACAGAATAAAAACAGGAACTGGTAAATGCGTGTTTAAATACTCAAAATGCAACGCAGGGAGGAAACTTTTTATCGGAAAGAATCAATTTGTACAAAACAAAGTTAATCAAGTATACAACATCAATGCAAGTTATATCGTACAATACTTCACAATGTTTCTCCAGAGTTCTCAATACCGCGACACGAGTATCTAATTCTCACCTAAAATCATCCCCGAGCGGCATTAGCACCACGTTGTGCGTGAACAACGATCCAGTCCTGGAATACTGCTCCAGAAGCAGCTCGGCCATCTGCTTCACGTTATTAGGCGTGATCTCTACCGCCCTGACCGAGTACTCGGTATACTCCCCGCGAATCTTCCTAAAGTCGAAGTTCAGGCAGACGTGAGGATGCGGACCGCATGAGTGTTTGATGTTGTAGATATCGAACGGCTGGTTGTGTGTCAACATATCAGCCCTGCCAGTCTGATCCCACGGCTGCATCCAGACGAAGTCACCGTACTGTTTCTTCGCGAACCACTGCTTCCACGCGTAGTGTATTCTCTGGATCACCGTGCCAGAGGATCCGGAAACTTTCAGGAAGTACGGTATGGTGCCACCGTGACCAAACGGGTCCACGGACCAACCAGACTCCGGGACCACGTCCAGGTTTGTTTTTAGCCATTGGTGACCTGGAATCAGAGAGACACGAACCGGATCAGTTAAAAAGTATCGTCGTGCTGGGGCTGTGGACGAGAACCAGGAGGAGAGGTAGAGGAGGATGGGGTTCAGTTTGCACAATAGTCAGCGACGCCGTGGAATAATCGGCTTTTCTGGTGTGTCGAGTACTGGCAAGCCAGCCGGCCGTTTAACGTCGGTTAGGTGAATCTTTTGAGACTTCTGCTGGTCTCATTAGGGAGAGACACAGACGTCGTATAAATCAAAAGGATCGATGCGAGCAGCTCGTCGTTAAATTCGAAGAACGTGGGAGTGTCTTTTGAGCGCCGTTCGCTCGTACCGCCGATCGCGAGATACTTATCGCTGTATAAATATCCCCGGGGCTCGTTTAAAAGCTCATGCTTTACCAGGAGAACAGAAGGAGTGCTCTTCTCCTCGAGTGCTTCCAGCCGGAACGAGTATGAAATCTACAACGGATTCGACGCAGATTCCTTTCCAAAATAGGAATCTGAGACGTGGATCATCAGTCAAATTGGCAAATCTTAAGCCTCAAATAACGTGGTTGTAATTTATGTTTTGAATTACCAAGATTTTGGGCATTTAAATTCTCAGTATACCTCGCATATGTTGATCATAAATTGTCGACGTTTTTAATGAAATTCAATGAGCTCCAAAGTTAATTCTTAAATTCCGGCATGTAATATCTGCTAGTTAATCATTGACTATTTTAATTATTAATTATTAAGAATCTATGATTTAAAAGTTTCCACGAAAAAATCACAAATTGGTTGTTACTTCTTTACTGTTAAAAGAAAAATTTGCCACGAAAGCTATTGTTCAGGAAGTAGTGTGACTATTTGGAGAAGCAGTTAGAGGAAGATGGTGAATGGACTGGATGGTTCACTGTATCTAAGGTGTCCACTAATTCAGACACGATTTCTCACGGTAGAAACCCATTTCGATACGCGGTTGTGGTTGTAATCGCTGCCTATTTATCAGTTCTCACCCTCCTAGCATTCCTCAGCGACCAAACAACCTCCGTTTGACCCTGTGCAACAGCGGGGAGTTAATCCACATCCGTTGCCACAGGATAGAGACTGCACCTCGATGGACAATTTATGGTGTTATGTAGTACGCAGCGGCGATCATAGTAAGGTGTATTACTACGTTTGTCAAAGTCACGAGTTCGAGTCTGATTTTCATTGAATATGCAATGAAAATTAATTAAAAATTGTGTTTATAGAGGAAATGATACTTACGGAGGCTTAAGTCTGATTTTCATTGAATACGAAGAGAAAATTAATTAAAAATTGTGCTTATAGAGGAAACGATACTTATGAGGACTTAAGTCTGATTTTCATTGAATATTAAGAGAAAATTAATTAAAAATTGTGTTTATAGACGAAATGATACTTAAGACTGATTTTCATTGAATATGAAGAGAAAATTAATTAAAAATTGTGAAAAAATTACCGAAACGAGGGTGTCGTAATCAGTAGACTGTGGATTTTTATATTTCTACAAACATAAATGAGGAAAGAAGACCTAAATTGAAATTTGTTTCATCTATCGAATTCTATAATATATACTGTTGCGTAAAAATGCAAAATTGACGTAAATTCGAAGTTAATTAGTTTCGCGAGCGAAAAATTTTGGCTCACAACGAGGGAGGAGACCATTTAGAAAGCAACGCAGGTGGTGAAACAAAATATGCGGTGGGATTCGATTTGCAATGGTAGCGAGGTATTTCTTTATTTCATTTCGATGTGGCTTCGGCTCTCGTATTTTCGAGGGGGAAAGCGAATTTGTACGGGTTTCTGGTTTTCCACGATAAATGGCCACTGATCGAATCCAATGAAATGCTCGCGTAAAATGAAAGAGAACTCCTTGCGTGGCTTTCGACGTGGAAAATGAACTGTTGGAAAAACGGAAGTTTCACATACAATAAGGATCGAATGAGTTGTTTCTCTTGTGAAAGAGCGGCTCGTTGAAATCCAAGTTCTAAAATAAACTTGATACGTTAACTCAAACGAAATATTCAAACGAATGTCTGACGTCTGTCTAATTTTTAATCCCCTTCAAGAAGCCATTTCAAATGTAATATATTTTTTTTTGTGAATTGATTCTAAAATCCTCAAATGCGACTTCATTAATCGAAAATGGATTTACACATACTAAATATAAATTGAAATTGAAATAGGATATCTTAATATAATCGTAGAAGCCTGACCTTAGATTGAGGATTCCATTCTAGATGATGACGTCCTAACCTAGACTTAACGTTCCAATCCAAAACTAACCTACTTTCTCCAGTCTGAACTAGTTATGAAATCTCATAATCTAGACTTGGCACTTTAACCTAAATTTTATTTCGACTATTATCGTGCTGTATTTCAAAATCCATTACACTTTTGCAATTGTTAGTAAATCAGTTCATATTTAATATTTCGAACTGGTATTACAATCCAAATTTATAACGATGACTTAATCATTCTCTAGAAGTCTTAATATAACAAGTTTCCAAAACTTTTAAGTTTCTAAGTTCCTCAATAATAATTAATTTTTGTGGTAGTCCCAAACTTGCAGTAAAAGTTCCTAGAGTCTTTCCAAGTTTTCAAATTACCTAATAATCCCAACAATTCCTCTAAATTTTCTAGCCCAATAAATTTCCCACGTTCCCTAATAAATATAATTTTATCATTGCGCAAAAAGCTATCGGGTAACCGGAAATTTAACGAATTGAATTTTCCAAATTTTCGTTTTCAAGTGCAACACGTTAACATGGTAGCAAGAGAAAGAGGCAAACGGAGACAGCTTCAATTATTACGCTAATGCAATCGTCTGAAGCGTTCCTGAAATTCCTGCGAAACCGAATTCGTATTCAGGATCCTCCTCTGCGCATGGACAAGCACCAGCATATACCAGTGGCAACAACAACCAACGTTGGATGCACTCGGTGTGCATGCAACGATGTGCAGCTAAGCGTGCGTGTTAACGCACGCAGCCGTGTAGATACAGTCTGTTCTCTATGGGCTCCTCTTGGCCTAAGTACAACGCTGTTGCGGATTTAGGTTAGCTCATTAGGGGGCCAACATTGTACGTTACTCGTAACATCTCGTTTGCAATTTTTCTTTTCGGTCGATTTATGCTTTCAAATTCATATTTGCCCTCGTACGCTTCTTCGTGTACTTGTTTCCTTTACGTGGATTTTACTATTTTATAAAGTATAAAATAATTTCTTTTCTTTTTTTTTTTTTTTTTTTTTTTTATTAAAAGCGGGAAATTTTAGGATGTTAATTTTTGCAAAGTTACAAAAACTGGGCAGCTAACTTTTACGAAAACAGAAAGACCGTGCGCAAAAAATAACACAAAAATTATTAAATTAATTTTCCACGTGATGAGAGCCACTACAAACATTTCCACTGCAGGGAAGAAAATAAACTATACAAATTTTATAAATCGTATAACAGCAACATGACTCCAACTTCTCATAAAAATATAAACACAATATTTTCCCGCAGTGCTGGAGTAGATAAGAGAGTAGAAAGTAACAATTTTGAAGTCTAGGGCTCGGATCCCGGCCATGTTACTTTCTGAGATTGTTCACGTGATATATGTTTGCAACCTAACCTAGAACCTAATCACGTGATGCATATTTGCAACCTAACCTGAAACCTAATCACGTGATACATATTTGCAACCTAACCTAAAACCTAACCTAAAACTGTAAATTAACAATTCTCATTGACCTTCTGATTAGTCAGAGTTCCTAAACACTGTTGCTAATGATTCCGACACTCGATGCGACATTTAAGCTCGCGAAAACAACAACAACAACAATATTCCCCATAATTTGTCACGAAGCGACAGATTGAAATATTGGTTTATAGGAATAAAGGGCGGTGGTAATTGAAAATCGTGGCCGCGGGGCACAATCGTTCTACGCGATTGAAAACAATAGGGCAACCCCGCGAGCGTCACGCGTTTCAAATCAAAGTGCATTTCGTCCGGGCGTTTGGAACAATTGGAAGGCGGCTAATGAAAACGACCACCAATCGGATTGGATTTAATTCCATTAATAACCGACACCGATCGTCCGAATCTAACCTATAAATAATATAAAGACACTGAAGGGGTTCCTGAAGTGTTGGTGGGTCTCTTTACGCTTTCGATTTACAGCGCATAAACTCGTCGAGGCTTATCGTGTATCCTTTAGGGACTTCCGGCTGGCTGACCTAAATGTTCCATCCAGATTGACCCAGTTTCTCTTCCCGAATGTCCTCCAGGTATCTGTCTCGTTTATCTCCGCGGAAGGGAGGCCTTCCGGTTCCACCGTTTCAGTTTTATCGTCGGAGACGGAGTATACTTGGTACATACCCGGAACAGTTCAAGACTTGAGGGAGTTTAACGTAAGTTAAGCGAAGAGGACGAATTAATTCGTTCCACTGGCGTCCGCTCTCCAAGAGATTTAGACTTTATTTCGGAAATTTAGAATTTCTTGGAAATAAATTTGTACGTTTAATTGTTGGAAGTAAGGATAACTTTTTCATATGAATTCCCTATAGATTTATTTCTGCTGATTGTACCTGCCAATTCTGTATTTATATTTGGGAAAATATACACGCAATCTGGAAGTGATTTGTGCATATTATTAAGTTTTCATTTCAATATTTTCGTGTAATGATATTTAAGGGGAATTTGTTTGTGGATTAAAAAAAATTGAATTATTTATCATGAATAAATAAATCTCTCTGTTGTACAACATGTACAAAATTAGTTTTCTCTTGACTGCGTATTTTTTTACCATAACAGATTGAATAAATATCCCTAGATACACAGTTTGTTTGTTTTGATCATTACAACTAGGAATTGAATCATGATATTTGAAAAAAAAAAGAATAAAAGAAAGAAAAAAATACACATTGCTTTTTTAACACTGTTTTTATAACATTAATACTGGTGAAAGAAGAAGTTAGTGTCATCTTGCTCGAGACTGCAAACTTTCTTTTCCTTCTTCTTCACGAAAAGAAAAAGAAAGGAAAAAAATGGAAATAAAGTAAATTTTCGATGAATAAAATTGATAAAAATTTAATATTTACATACCAAACGCAAAACTCGAGAGAGACTTCTGTGTCCGATTATACATAATGTAGCAAATCACCGAGTAAGATTATCAGCTCCACAGAAGAGTCAAATCTTCAATTAATTTCATGAATTTTTCAATTCCACTTGGCAAAAAATTCTCGTTTGGTTGGAAAAGGTTTCCTTCGAAACGCCTGTTATAAACTGGAAAACGCTGGCAATTTGCGGGGCAAGCCGGCATCCTCGAATAATTGACGTAATTTCGACGCTGCGACCGACGTCCACCGATGACTCTGTGAATGCGGATCGTACTAACGGACTAACGGACCGGTAACAATCCGCCGGTGGACGTTAATGTTTAAGCACGCTCGAACGATTTCGAGTATCGCGCGTCTGAATCGAAAATACCCGGCGCTGGCCCCTCGGAATTGCAGGCGTTTCCCCGCGACATCGGGCATTAGGAGACTCGAATTAGTTTCGAGCCAGGGACGCTTAAGCACCGTCACGACTATTCATTT